TCCTGCTGATAGGTGTGGCCAATCAATAAGCAACCTATATTTGGTAAGTGCTATGCTGCCAAGTCAATGAAAGCTATTTTAGGAAGAGAAGAACGTCCTGAGAAGCTGAAAAGTGGCATAAAATACAATCATGGATAATGCATCATTGAAAGTACATTTACAAGATGTATGCGACAAGGAGCTACAGAGTCCTGGGAATGATAGTGTACATTTACATTGTTTAACGCAAATCATATTGGTATAAGCATAGAAACTATGACGTTTTCAATGAAAATATAGCTTTGTTCCAACACTGGTGTTGTGTTTGTGTTCCCTTCTCATCAGAGCAGCCAGACTTTAAGCGAGCGACGGATACGAACAAAAAGGCAATTTTTAGCTTTATTAAAGACCTACGCACTTAAGATAAGTAGAGTATAATAGTGCATAAATAAATAGACCATCGTTAAGTATGTAAGCGAGTTTTTAGTGAGAAGTGGCTATAAAGATCTGAAAAGTTAGAGCCTTTAGGACAAGCTGACTTCTAAGATGTCCCACGAATTTTGTAGTGTACCATCTTGACAGGAGTCTGAACGGGCTTGTAGACAATAGAAAGGAAAGCACTGGGAAATTTAGATCTATACGGTCCTTGTTGTTTTTTATTAGGGACTTAGACTCATGTTTAATTCTTGAAGTGTCAAAAGATGTATATTGCAGGCCTAGAGACTGGAGCGATTCACACTTGTGACCAACACCATATCTGCTGATCAGCATGGTTTTCTTCGTAATAATTCATCTGCGATATCAAGACAATTTAACCGATTAATACAAACATTATACAAAAAAAATATCGCTTTTTTTGACTGCTGAAGCCCAAAGATTATTTTAAAAATACCCATTTTGCACCAAAATAGACGCTTAAAACACCTCCATAGACATGGATACGATAACCCATACTGTGCGCGAAAGTATATCGCGATAGCCTTTATCCTTACCTAAATACCTTAAGCTGTCTAGTTCAAGCATCCATCATTTATATGGTTTTTCGAAGGTGTACGAAGACGGTGTCCTTCTGGACCCATGTTGAATCTGCTGAACTCGCCTTATCATTGTACAGAGAAATGGCTTACTGAAATTTTCGAACTAATGAGATGGAGTCTGTGTAAACATATTATTTCGGACACTTTTGACACTTTCAGTTTCTTTGGCGGAATTAATTCGAATGCCAAGCACAGGATTTCATGTGACGTTTGTTCCTTATTTACAAATGTACCACAATCAGAAGCCATCTGTTATCTGTGTAATTGCATTGATGCGAAAAGCACGGACATTTATTGCCAACAGGCATTATTGAGATGCAGGTCTAATGTTCAGTTTAGATTTAAAGAAGCAAAGAAGTCGTCATGGAGTCTCCTATAATACTTTTCTTGGTGAATGTCCGCATGAAGAGCCTCAAGAACACTCCACTAAAAGAAACTATCTAGTTTGCATATGTATAAGCGGCATATGGACGACACCCTTATTTTTTGTGATGACAACTATTTCAACTGCTGGACTCCTCGGGAAAGTTAATAGTTTTCACCCATCTACCCCTTTCACTACCGAAGAGCGATCTAACTGCACATTACACTTCTCAGATGTGACGCTAGATAGAACGGAGAATGGCGTGTTGAGAGGCTAGATTTACCGAAATCAGAAATTCTCAGGTAGTAGACTGAGTTCAGCAGTTGGGCACCTCTGGGTATAAAGAGAAATATATAATTAGGATAATCTGCTCCATGGATACAGTAGATATAGGTTGAGAAAACCACCGTACAACCCTATTAAGTAATGGATATGCCAAAAAGTTAGCTGAGAGACCACTCATATGAGTTTGGAGTTCAAAAGTAACACTGCTGCTTAGGTGATTATAAATCGTTTATCTAAATGCACGAAGATCTCTTTTTATGCGAATGACTTACACTTAGTACCTACTCCAGGTGTGAGGAAGCTCTTATCCTCATCCGAAGACTATTCTGCAACTGGTACACAGCTTCTACCAGTAGACACGACTCCAGCAGTGAACGCTTGTGGATAATATTAAAAATGTTTAGCTGTGGACCTTAACTGTATATCCAAGTAACCGTTTAACTAATATAACTTATTACTGTATTTATTAAAATATACTGTTACACTATAATCTCATTAACTTGGATTTTATTCACATACTTCATCTGTTATTGAACTTGCTAGAAAGTCCCCCACAAATTTATTAGTTAACCCAACTGAACATCCTAGCTTTATAAACTCTATTTTTGTATTGTTATCATTTTTAGTTTTGACTGCACTTTCTATATATTTATATATCTATGTGCCTGTATATTCACGCAATACTCATGTCCTCACCCACCCGTTCGCTTTCTGCACCTGAGACTAACGAGGCACAGGATTCAATAATCAACGCAATAGTTGATCTGCGTCTACCTACGTCTGGTTTCACTGAGCCTCGGATTTGGTTCGCCGTCATTGAACCCCTTTTTGCTGACCGATTCATTAAGTCACAGAATGAAAAGTATGGGTGTGTCTTAGCGGCACTGCCCGCAGGGGTTCTCGATCTCCTGAAGATCTTCAGTAAGATCGACTCAAGACAGTTTTATCCAAAGAAGGAGTGTTTCTGATGAGAAACGGATCCAGCAACTACTCACTGCATGTAAGTTAGGCTCACGAACTCCATTTCATCTCCTCAGGCATATGTGTCAGCTGCCTATTCCACACAAGGTTGACGAAGTGGCCATACGACAGATGTAGATGCGGCAGCTACAACGGCAGATCCGACAGATTTTGACTTTCTATTCCAAATCCGTTGACCCAGATGGACTAAGTGAGCTTGCAGACAAAATTACAGACACAGTGCCTGACACCAGTATCTGCAACGTATCAACAAGTCATGCGTTACGGTTAAGGGGGTGTCTGCTGCAGACACACCTGTATTATCAGCGATTTCGATACTGGTAAGTAAAATGGAAAAGCTAGAAACTGAGATCTCAAATCCACGTACACAGGGTAGTAGGTCATCGTCCAAGTCAAGGCAACGTCAAAGGTCTTTCTCAAGACAGCCAACCACAATATCTTCTAATACTCGAAATATTTCCTGATACCATAGAAATTTTGGAAACCGGGCTATTTGTTGTTCAAAACCATGCACGTTCAGCAGTAGTGACTCGGCTCAGGGAAACTCCCCACCCAGATGGTGATGGCGACGGCTGTTACTGGCATTCATTCAAGTCGCCTTTTCTACGTGAGGGATAAAACTATAGGCACATTATTCCTGGTAGATATAGGAGCCGAAGTTAGTGTAATATCCCGTTCACTCTCCAGGCGGCCTTCTAGCACAGCTGACAAATGTTCACCTCGAGCAGCTAACCAAACTGGCACGCGAACTTACCGTGAACAATCACTTATTGTGGATCTTGGTTTACGCCATCGTTTTACACTGACTTTCATAGTAGCTGACGTTCGTCATGCCATACTGGGTGCTGATATTTTAAGTATTTTCAATCTGTTGGTGGATGTCAACAAGAAAAAACTGATTGACAACTGCACCCAACTTTAAATCCATGGAATCATCTCAGACTACTCCGTTTATAACATTTACATCGAAAAGTCAGATGATTGCACGTCTTCTGCATTACCTCAACGTCTTCCAAAAACTCTAAGGCCATCTTACAATATCGAAGATATCCCTCATTCTGTCACGCAAAATATCGTCACAACTGGTCAACCCCTCAGAGCACGCCCTCGTCGAGTACTGAAAATTAAATCGTAAAGAACTTTCTAGCAAGTTCAGTAACAGATGAAGTATGTGAATGAAATCCAAGTTAATGAGATTATACTGTAACAGTATATTTTAATAAATACAGTAATAAGTTATATTAGTTAAACGGTTACTTGGATATACAGTTAAGGTCCACGGCTAAACAATTTTAATATTATCCACAAGCGTTCACTGCTGGAGTCGTGTCTGCTGGTAGAAGCTGTGTACCAGTTGCAGAATAGTCTTCGGATGAGGATAAGAGCTTCCTGCAAAAGTCCAAAGTAAACAACACGGTCATCAGTGAAGCGAGTAGACAGTATAGACTAGTGAGAAGACGAAACGCCCAGCAGTACACTGTATTTTAGATTGCACTCGGTCGTTATCTATATTCCAACATGAATCGGTTTAAACAAAGTCAGGTGCAATGTTTCTAATTTCAACATCTAACAGAGGAGTGTACAATCATATTGTTACGTACTCCACAGATGAGCGCATAGAACCCAGAACACATGTAAAGATCTCCTCCCAACGTTAAAATTAGGCGATGGTTGAAAGGTGGAGAACTAAGTTTTGCCATTATCAGCTTTGGCATTCAGTAAGATATTTTCGTCTGAAGGAAATTATACTTCCAGTAATTTGAGTTATTCAATTATGATCATAATATACATATAGCACCTCATTAATCTAGTGAACTTCATTGACTACCGATGGAAAAACATATGGACGAATCAATAACATCTATCTGATCCTCCTAAATACCACGTAGATTTCAATGTCGACTTAGTCAAACCGAGTTGGCTAAATGAGATTCATGGACAAACAACTGAACATGACCAAACAGCATGCCAAGCTGCAAGGATTCCAGGAAAACCTCCCAATTTCTCACAGGAGTTCTCACAGTCAAGTTAAAGCAATTTCTGTAAATAAATTCGTCAAGGTCATCAATCCATTCACAAGGTTTTGGGTTGTCATAGTTTAGAGTCATCATTATAGCAATATTTTGACATGGCCCGCCTGAAACACTAATCATTGCAACCAATATGCTAAGAGTGTCTTGCAGTCAGATCACATGACGTGGACACCAACACAACTAGCCAGGAAATGAGAATTCCCATCAATCCAGATAATATAAAACACATTTTTCTTAAAACTTATTGAAAAAAAATTTCCAAGTAAAATTTCAACCGACCTACAAGTCCAGCCTCCTTTCCACTAATAGTCGCTTGAATATTGTACATTGAAGGGCACATACCCCAGATATTTGAATTTGACTTTCACAACACGTTCAATTTATTTTGGATGTTTCGGTTCTATTTCCTAATGTATAGGAAACATCTGCATGGGATTTTATATAATCAATGACCACTTCATATGCAGGAGTGAAACTTTCTTCTATCAATGGACATCTAATATGTGGATTATGTGGTGGATACTTAATAGATGCAACCGTTCTAACCGAATGCATACATGTATTCTGTAGAAGCTGCATTCTTAAGTACTTATCAGAGAACAAGATTTGTCCGTTATGCCAAAGCCTAGTGCAGGAGACGAGACCTGGTCAAGCTCTCCGTCCAGATGTTGCATTACAACGCATTGTATACAAATTAGTCCCGGGTTTGCTGAAGACTGAAATGAAAAGGATTTCAGAATTTAAGGAATTATATTCAACGGATTCTTTATATGTTGATACCATCTTGTCTGGCAATGAAGTCCTGTTCGGTGCTGCAAATGCAAGCGGTACTTCTAATTATTCTACCTCATCAGGTAAGCACATTTTAGGTATCTTTATTTTATATAGGAAAAAGCACTACGGGTATGACACCTTTACTTTTGTTAATTAGATTTTGGCTGGATGCGTTTCAAAGGTGTGATATTGGTGGGGTTTATTTTATGTTATGCACTTTGTGTTCGTTTAGCATGGTTTGTATTAAATATTGATCCAGTCGGTATGTTCCCAAGCTTACTATACTGCTGAATTATGTCTCGCCAATTCTAAAATAACTCTGACATCCTATGATGAATAAGTTCTGAAATTGTCCTGAAATGGTTTGATTATGCGCACAGACTAGAACTCAGTGCTGGTTTTCAGCGTGACTGACACTGGTTCAGCACCCTGTGCTTTTCTAGGCATTTTCAGAAATAGCTTAGAACCTACAGTGTTCACTTACCGGCGTTTTCTCAGCCCAAATTCAGCGCATATTAGCAATTTTTATAGCTTTAATTTAGCACCAAAGGCATTATTTCAGCTGCAAATTCTATTTCTAAATTGTCATCGCATTAATTAGGCATCTAGTGCTCTTTTTAAGAACGGCCAGCTCTATTTCAGCACCTGATGGGTTCATTTATGTAGATAAATTACTCATTTACCATATAAAGACGTTATCGACGCAAAGGCTAGAATTAGTTTAGAATTATTGCAAGCTTTGCTTTCTACTACTATGGCAGTTCATATTAGTATCGAGGGAATACATACTTCAAGGGGAAAATTAGTCACACGATATTCTGGAATGCAGTGAAGTAACAGTTTTATCTCTGATTCGATAGTGGCAATTGCTAGACTGGCAGTATACTGTTCCTACAAACAGTTGGGAAACCGTGGGATCGGCTTAATTTCATTCCAGAATAGTTCTCACATTTAAGCACACGCTTGTCTTTTGTACTACGTATCCAAGTCATCATCATCTAAGCCAGTGGGTTCCTTGTTTACCGCTAGTATTCCGAAACACAGAATAGCTAATATGGTTCTAAGGTTTTGATTTAAAACCTTGATTCCCCTTATTGCAAAATTTGTTAGGTAAGTAGTGTGACTAAACCATCAACCTGGAACGTCGCCCAAAGCGCGAAGGTTCAAGTTGCGATGCAAGTAGAATTAAATAAGATGTACGAGATGGAGAATAGTTAGTTGCTGGTAGTTTTCAGTACGTGGATACTAACAAAAAGTGAATAAGTCTTCCATTGCTCACTAATAGTCTCTAACCATTGACTGGTAGCGCCCTTACCAAGTAGACTACTTCTGTGTAATTCTACTCAACAGTCAGTGAATTCATTGATAAGGGTCTGTATATGATCAGCGAGTTTCCAGTGTTATAAGTTAGTGTCACCAGTCTTAATTTTATACAAGGAAGTTTTTGAATAGCTATTTTCCAAAGTCCGATAATATATCGTTAGTTTGGGCATAAATCAAATGTTTAGTGTACAGTTTAATGCGTAGATGACATTTTGACCTAACCATCCGTAACTCTTATTCAGAATAGTCAATTCAGCTAACACTTCGTCAAGGAAGGTGGTGGCCAGGTATTCGTACTACTTGGAGTAGTGCGTTGGGTCGTCTTTCGTTAAATTTTATTCAGCCACTGCAACTACTGGATCTGCAAGTCCTGTTTAATTAACTCTTCTAATTAGCAGTTTTCTTGAGGTTTTTTCGGTTAGTTTCTTGACAGCTAGTCAAGCCTGATGAATTAACTAGAGCTGCTTTGTATTCCGTTCGTTGGTCAGCAACATATTTCATTTTCCAGAACTGTTTTATTTTTGCATTCCAGAAATCTTTCTGTAAAGAAATAAGCATTTTAGCATACAATATGCTTATAGTGTAATCCTTTTGAATGTAAATGCTGGCAAGATACGATTTTCTGAAGTTGCGTAACCTGACTGCTAGTTTAAGAGTATTGAGTGACTTAGCTCTATGTGTTGGTCAATTCAATTATTCGCAAGTTTCATCAGTTCTGGTCTACTGGTAGCTGACGATATGTCTGTTGGGTGTCATTGATCATAATTGTCGTTGCTTTGTTAGTTGCATCAGTTATGGCAGCATAGTAAATAATAATGACGTGTTGGATGATGGAGCGGAACCAATCGGTGATGTACTCAACGTTTAATGACTTAGGTGGTTGTGACATACATTACAGAAGACTAGTAGGTGTCTAAACTAACCAGTGTTTTCGCTTAATGAAGGATAAAGTTAGGAACAAGTTGAGGAACTAGTAAACTCAAAATTTTACCAATCACTAAAGTCTCCGACTGCTAGTTTGAACTGTATAAGACCATTAAAAGGTGGGCAGGGTCGATAATTGGTAAAAACAAGCAAATGCCAATTTTCAAATGTAATTCCAGAATATTATGTTTGGTATTTCGTTGTAGTAATCGATTAAGTCCACCGACTTGGTATTATTTAGGTGATTATTCTTCCTTTGGTACATTGTGTTGTGTATTATGGTTTCCCTGCATTACTCTTCTTTCACTTTATATTCTCTTTTGTGAGGTGTAGTAGCTTTGAAGTTCTGTGTCGATAATTCAGTGTTCACTTCTGGTGTTCAACTCGGTCGGTGTCATGTTGGTGTGGTTCTCATAAGTACCATTCCGACTTTGTTGCGTCGTACTTTTTGACTAACGGCAACTGATTTACTCAAGTTTGGATAAAGATGAAAGCAGCTAGATTTGAGTGTAATAATAGTTTATTTAGACATAAAATGGTTCGGGGTGTTACACGATATGATTCAAGGTTCTGTTTGTCTGTCCGTTTTCGACATAGAACTTTGCACCGATGTGCAGCAGTTCAAGTCGCCACACTCCATGTAGCACACAAAGCAAGAGAAGAGAGTAAAAGAAATGCAAAATACAAACAGTAGACAGGGATATGAGACAAAAGGAATAGTAATAACGAAGAACAATATAGTTCCATTGGAAACATTTATTGTAGTTCCTTTTTATAGTTCCATTGGGTGTTATATATCACAAGGAGTGGATGCATCTGCACTAGCCATTGACAACGATGATTTTGAGCCATATCACCAATAGTTTCCAGCCATTGGTTTTTACCGTCCCGATGACTACAACCAGGCAGTCAGGAAGTTTACACCTTCCTACGTAACTGGCTTAAACTAACTGTTTTAGATTTCATTGACTGATGAAGCTATGTTTTGGTTTGACCCACCACTGGCTCTTCTCCAACCTTATCCATCTTATGTCAGATACCATCGCCTGTTGTCGACGAAGGCGATGGCTAGGCATATGTAACATGTCCTAACCATCTCAGTCGATGTAGCTTCACAGCCTCGTCGATTGGTTTCCCCTCCTTACCTAGCACTCAACCGGTGCCTAACCTCAATGTTGCTCACCTTATTATACCACCTAATACGGAAGATAAAACGCAGGTACTTATGATCAAAGACAGCTAGCCTTTTCATATCCTCCACTCTCAATGGCCAGGTCTCACAGCCATAAAGGAGCGGACTGCTAAGCAGTACACACGCCCTGTGGTCGACAGCCAGCCCGATATCACGTCTACGCCAGAGACGGCTTAAACTGGCATATGCCAAACTAGCTGATTCAAGGTTGGTAACAAGGCATCAATGTTACTATGATTCACATCTAACAAAATCCTAAAAAGCATCCTGTATGTCTTAGTTTTTCTTGAGATTACTGTTATCGCTTCTTCACCAGACTCTTTTGCTGATTTCCTTAATAAGTTGGTTTAAGGTGGAGCCGTTTGAATAATGAATGAAGAGTTATACTGTTTCACTTATTATCTTGTTTCACTTTTCTAAGTATACTCCTACCAACTTTGATTTTGTTCTCTAGAATTTTGACTATGTGATCTCCATGGGTTCCTTAATGGAATACTCTAAGGTCTACTTTTTGATAAAAAGTAGAGATCGCTTCATGTGTCTTAGCCATGCTTATTCGCGTGATGGTGTCATGTAATTGTTGAAGCTGCCAATCACATATCGCATGGAAAAATACTGACCCAGTCTAGAGAGCTGGCACAAATGCATTCCTTCGAAATGCTGCCACATATGAATCTATTCATTTCCATTAAGCATTGGATTATCCCACCTCCGTATTACTTTCTTCTGTTTATATCTTTTTATGTAATGTTGCAAAGCTTAGCAATTCGAAGGATTAGTGCATTACATTTACCTAGTTACATAAAACTCTCATTTCTCTGGTGTCTCTGGCCAGGAAGTTGTAGAATTTGTTGTAATCCGTTTATCTTCGAACACTGATTCTGTGGATATAATCTTGTTGACTATTAATGCATATAGCTAACTGTTTGGCATTTTGCTGTTGTTCTGATTGCTTTATTTCTAAAGCAAGCACCGCAAAAGTCGCTCCTCTGTAACTTACATATCTATGTAACAACTTCCTCAGGCGTGAGGCTAACAGCCGCTCACCTTGTAAACAAAACTGTTACAGAAGCTTCAGTTCGATGAGTCTCCTTGCGACGAAAGAAAAATTATGCGTAGGGACATGGAACTTCCGCATGATGAAAGCATGTAGGCGGATGTGGAGCCAGGTGAAAACGTTGATAGGGGACCGGACGCAATGGAGACGTGCGGCTGAAGCTCTCTAGGGAAACAGTAACAGTAATAACAACTATAGTAATTAGAATTATTGCATTTATATGCAGGGTCCTGTATTATTTTGTCTGTCAAGTTTTCGAGTATACTAATTAAAGTTCTTAACCTTGTGTGTTTTATTTTGTTTCGTAAGGTAGTTATTTGTACATCAACCAGAAGTTATAGAATGTTGCTTTCGATTAACTTTTTTATTTGTAGGTCTTCAACCTGCTCCTCTGCCTACGGCTCTCGCTACTCGATCGCTTTCCAAAACTCCATGTGCACTTATTTCGTCAATGCAAACATCGCGGACTATTGTTTCTAATCGTCTACCGAGTTCAGCTGCATTTCTATTGGAAGATGATGAATTTGTCAGTTTGTCTTTAACACATTTAACAAGTTTACCCTCCTCCTATTCTAAAGTATCCGAATCCTTCATTTATAAACGTCACAGTCAGCTGGATCATGCTAAAACTTCCTCAAAACTTGAATCTAGTCACTCCCAGTCATTGTCATCATCATCATCATCCTCAACACTTCGATTTACAAATTCAATTTATCTTTTATGCCCAGCTGTTGTCACCGTTGCTAACCTTCATCATTTATTATTATCAAAATATCAACTTGATCCTGCAAGACAAATTGTCGACTTATATCTTGACGGTGAGTGTCTGGAACCATCGCATAGTCTGCGTGAAGTAGCATTTCTTTATTCCTTTCCTACACGGAATCAATGTATGTGCCTGCAATTTGTTTTCACGGATGCATGTACAGCTTGGTGGGGTACACCAATGCCCTATCTTGAACGCCTACAACCAAAACGGTCCACCTCATTCAAAGATCATTATACTGACTCGAATTCGATTAATATTTGTCTCTCTAGCTTGAATCATGCTACTAAAGTGTGTGAAACTTCGAATAAACAAAGGAAGAGAGCTTCATTCTGATGGTGCATTTATAGAAATTGAAGTGCATTATATATATAACTCCTGTAAATATTTCCCCTTACCTCTTCGTGCATTTTTACATGTAATGTATCCCCGACACCCGTTTGTAATCAGGAAGCGATTACGTAATTCTTTATTTTTTGTTGTTACCGTGATGACTCTCTCTAAACAGGCTTTTCATCTTTATTTTTGTCCTTGCCTCCTCCTCATCATTTCGTAGTGTTTACTTTGATGATTACCTGTTTATATTGTACATATATTTTCTATTTTTTACCAGACCATTATTGTGCTGAAGAAGAGATAATAATATTAATAATTAAATGCCAGCAAGATAAGCATTAGTTAAGTGTGTTTACGACGCTTCTTTTATACACATTGAAAAAAGAGCTTAATTTCCATTCGTATTTTTCAGACACAAATTTGTTTTTCTCCAATTATGATTATTATTGTTATTTTCTTGAGTATCACTGCTCCTGCTGTCTTTCATTTTGCCGGTAGACACGATATTTAGTCAAAGCGATCAAGTTTCTTATCTTAACAGTTTATCTCTATGTATATACTACACACGTTTAAAATTTGATTTTCTTTCCCGTCTTTGTCTCTAGAGGAGATATACTGTAGCTTATCTAAGCATATATATATGCATACATATATTTCTGTAAAACTCAAATCTGGAAATACATATATATATTTTAGTAGACGACTGGTTTTTCTTTTCTTTATCTTCCATTATTATCTGTTACTGTGTGATGATTGATTATCTTTCAGGATGACAGTATACTGAGAAATCTAGCTCCTGGCGTTGTAAAGCAGTTTACGTCAACATTACCATTTTTTTTTGTTTAACTGAAATGAAATGAAGTGGTGGTAACGTGGGAGTTCCCTACTGTTTATTAAAGCCTGTACACTATGTATATGTAGAGGTGTAGTTCATTGTCTTAGGCAATAGACTTCAGCCAATGCAATGGGTCACGGGTTCGAGTCTCACTTCACCTACTTCCGCCTAGGCAGGGCAACTCGGTGGCTGTGTGTATCATCAGTTCTTCTCACACGATAACTCACTTCAGCGACTCAGGGATTGACTTGCTACCACACCAGGGAATAATCTCGTTGACTTAGAATATGCAGACGATATAGTCCTTCTAGGCGAGGATGCTGACAAAATACAGCAGAGTCTTCTGAATACCTTGAGCTGCAATCTACGAATGTTTGGCATGCGATTTGCTCCTGCTGTGAAATGCAAGATGATGTTACAGGATTGGACTACACCGACTCCTAGATTAGAAGTAGGGAGTGAAGTGGTAGAGCACGTTGACCGCTTCACTTACTTGGGAAGTTGCATCAGCAAACGCCAACGGGTTGATCTCTGACGAAATCTCAGCACGGATACAGAGGGCTAGTTCCGCATATGCCAGTTTACACTCTCTCGCTTAATAGACGTGATATCCGGCTATCGACCAAAGGGCGGATGTACTACTCAGCAGTTCGCTCCGTCCTCCTTTATGGCTGTGAGACATGGCCATTGAGAGTGGAAGACATGAAGAGCCTAACTGTCTTTTATCATAGGTGTCTTCGTTCTATCTCGCGTGTGAGGTGGTATAATAAGGTGAGCAATATTGAGGTTAGGCGTCGGTGGAGTGCTAGGTAAGGAGGAGGGGAAACCAATCGACGAGGTTGTGAAGCTACATCGACTGAGATGGTTAGGACATGTGTTACGTATGCCTAGTCATCGCCTTCCTCGACAATAGGCAGTGATAGCTGACATAGGATGGATCAGGTTGGAGAAGAGCCAGTGGTGGTCAAACCAAAACATGGCTTCATCAGTCAATGAAATCCACAAGTTAGTTTAAGCCAGTTACTTAGGAAGGTGTAAACTTCCTGACTGGCTGATTGTGGTCCTCGGGACGGTAAAAATCAATGGCTGGAAAAAATCGGTGATATTGCTCAAAATCGTTATCAATGGCAGGTGCAGATGCATCCACTCCTTGTGACTTATGATTTCCAATCAAACTATATTGTTCTACGTTATTACTATTCCTTTTGTCTCATATCCCTGTTTATTGTCTCAAATTTGCATTTCTTCTCTTGCTTTGTGTGCTACATGGAGTGTGGCGACTTGAACTGCTGCACATGTGTGCAAAGTTCTATGTTGAAAACAGATAGACAGTTGAGAAGTGTGTGTACTATGGTATTCCGATGTGATAATTGAGATCGGATGTACTCTTTTCTGCCGTTACTCATGTCCTAGTTGTAATGATCAAAATCCTGTAAAATGAGGTGTCTATAGCTCTGCGTTATATTAGTGACAAATGATCTCCCTGAGATGACACTTTTATGTGAGTCCTTACATTCGATAACCGATTAGGAAACGGTCAGTTTGAGTACCACAGTTTCGCGAGCAAATACTTCAGTCTTATAGTGTTAGACAAAATCGGAGGAATCAGGAATTATTGACTAGGGTGTTATTTTTTTGGCTACACATTTAAAATAAATCATAAAATTTAGTAAAGCAGTACTCATAAAATGTTTAATTTCTAGTGTGGCTTATCATCTGGTCATCCTAGTTATTGACTGACTAGTTTCCAATCAAAAATATCCAATACAGTCCTACAGGAGGTCAGTCGCGAACCTGAATAGCTCAATGGTAACGTCTCCAACTGCAGCACTGGGTGATGCAGATACGCCTTGCTGATGAGTGGCAACTAGCACGAAGCTTAGGTCCAAGGTTGGGCTTCCTGTGGCCGATTGCCTCAAACCATCTAATACTAACAATTCATAGTGTACCGTGATGGCGAGCCACCTAGTCGCATGCCTGGCCACATTGCAAATTTGACTGGTAGAATTCAGTCTGCTTCAAAGACAGGACTAGACACACATTACACTAGTTACTGACTGGTGTCCAGTCAAAAATATCTTTTCATTCTATATGCAAAACTTTCGTGTCGTCTATGAGTTCAAACTGCATCATTTAAAAACATGTGATTTTAGGTATCAGATTATGCAATGAAAAAAACACGTAATGCACATGAAGCATGGTCACACAAAGTGTGTGTGTATGGTCACTTGTGATTGTTTAGACAGACATTTAACATAAATATGATCGAATGAGTCATTTGTGCACGTCTATTTCGCTTTATGATTGAGTATTCATATTCATTTGATAATTAATGGAGCATTCTAATCATATATGGTTATTCTTGTGTATGACATAAGTGTATCTGTGATTCAGTAATAGTAGACAAGGGTCAGGCAATAGTTCGTTTATTGAGAAAATCAATAAATATTTTTATATGTACATTATTATAGATTATTGTAAGCAAACAAACACAGTCTTCTGATTGTTGGTTTCTCGCTGAACGTTAATCTTTCATCTGCTTGTGGCCGGTTCTTGATGTTCAGATTATCTATCTGCAAATTGTATCCGCCTACGCAAAGTCTTCCGTGATTGGTTGTTGAGTCAGTCCTTGTTCTTATTTTTCTCATGACCAATATTGAGGACGTACACATTGACGTAAACTGCTGGCTACCAATTTGGCTAGCAGCCAGCTCCCACCACACTTGTCCCCCCGTCAAAGATATGCGACTGAAGTTGGTTCGGTCCTCTTGCTTTTAGGGGCTTTGTTCGTTTGTCTTGCTATCTGGAATCTCGGCGCTCGCTGATGTTCACCTGTTTCTCTTTGTTTACTGCTGCGATTGTGTCTGCGTAACCCCATCTCAAAGTGACCATATATAGTCCTTCCCACTTTGAAAACTGTTTGCCTGACCCTGTCGCACATTCGTCGGTATTTCGCCTCATACTTTCATATGCTGCTTTCTCCCGACCTCCCAGTACCGTCCCAAGTAACAGCCTCATCTCTGACAGATCTTGAACGCCACTCAACTGCTCAGAAGCCTCGAATCCCTGCCTGAAGACCCATATGTCTCCATCAAAAACTGCAGGACATAGGCTTTCCATCTGTCGGTAGGTAGTGACACCAAATGTAACAACAGAAGACAAGGGCCAGGGCAACAGATCGTTTATTTGGGAAATCAACAGATATTTATATATTTTCATGTACATTATTATAGATTATTGTAAGCAAACAAACACAGTCTTCTGATTGTTGGTTTCTCGCTGAACGTCAATCTTTCATCTCTTTGTGGCCGTTTCTTGAAGTTCAGATTATCTCTCTGCAAGTTGTATCCGCCTACGCAAAGTCTTCCGTGATTGGTTGTTGAGTCAGTCCTTGTTCTTATTTTTCTCATGACCAATATTGAGGACGTACACATTGACGTAAATTACTATCTACCAATTGCTGCTAGCAGGTAGCTCTCACCACAGTAGTAGTGATAGTAGAATGTGTGCCAACCACGTACATGGTCCGGATTTGATTACCGGTAGATCCACTCGTAAACCTCCTTTAGCCGCGTAGTAAGCACGGTAACGAGGAAAAGTAGTGTATAAAGCTAGCAATCCCACCCGCATAAAAATACGAAATCCCCGCTATCTAAACTTCAAAGATCAAACTTGAAGTTGTATGTTCCACTCACAACGCAAACGGGGAAGGAAGGATATAAGTATAAAACTTAGGCACTCTGGTAGATTATAAGTCCATTATGGATAAGATTTTATTTCCATAAATCACACAGTGGTGTTATACGGTAATATTAACTGATGACGTTTCGAGCACAAACTATTGCCACTCATGATCATATCAAGCTACTCACACAACTTTTTCCTTCACTTATATACATGTGTGGAATTGACTAGATATTTGAATAAAAATCAATATGGGGTAACGTACATTCGGAAATAATAATATGAGTGTTATCAATGAAATACAATCAGATGGGAAATAAGGCGAGTGTTTTTAGTCATAATAAGCAACTTGTTAGAATGTTGTGATGTGCTTGAATTGAAATAGGATTTTAAGATTATTTATTATCCTCCTCTGATTTGACTGGTGCTAATAATATCTTCCATATCTCTGGTATTTGCTTTGAGTCATTTCTATTGCATGTGTTGTGTTGTGTGTAGACTCGATGAACCAGGACTCAGTAATCAATCTCTTTCTCTCCACCTACATACATTACTTCTTGGAATTTTAACCCTCTCCCACCATGCTATTGTGTGGTTGTGTGTTAATGCATGCAGTGCAATGTAGTGCCGAGCTTTTTTCTAAATTACATATCTTAGTGGGATTAATCATTGTAACCTTAGCTAAATTCTTATGTTCCGACAATCTAATTACCGCCGACCTACTAGTTTAACCTTTGTAGTTGACTTAACTCACACTCATTGCAAGGTATTTTGCAAATTATATTATTTTGTTTAATTGAATCCACCGGGTCTTTTAGCCTACGGAGCTTGTCCTTTCTGAGTGAGCTTGTAGGTTTAAATGCCACCCTAGTTTCTGCTTTATTGAGAATCCTACGTAGGGTCTCAGATGTCCCTTCCCGCCTTATATGGTATAACAGTAAATGCCTTATATTCCTGCCTATTTATGTTATCATTACCAGTTTCACAATTATTTTTATTTTGCTTTTGACCTTTTCTGATCTTCCTAATGAATTTTATAGGATAGTTATTTAACACCAACCAGCTATTCTTCTATTTGTTTTATTTCATCATTTAGGTCTTTTCTTGTGCTACTTAGTGCTAGTGCTCAGTTTGTTGGACACTTAACTAAGCCTGCCTTCACAGATAACGGTGGATGAGATGAATTAAAGTCTAAATATCTATTAAAAGGAAAAAGTGTATCATACAATGAAACAGCAGTATTTACTCGATAATGTTTTGAACACAATACCAACTAAATTTAATTATAAACAATAAATTGTGTTCGAAACAATAATACTGTTTCGCCTGTGTGTGATATATGCAATAAGCAGAATAATATGGAATTACATTCTACCAAGTTCTACACATATATACCTGAATAGTTGTGATTGTGTATTCAATTATCTTTTTTTGTTTCAATGCTTAGTTCCAGTTATGCGTTTGTCTCTGAATATAAAATTGTATATCTGTTAAGAGATTACAA